TGAAATGAAAGTACTTGACTTGGTGTCGATTGGACGAGTATCCAACGACTACAAATGTTATCATTGAGCTCAACCCCATTGGTAGTTGATTGAATCGAGCCGGCAAGGGCTTGGTCGTGCCAATTAATGATTCTTGGGGAAATGTTATATGGAATGTTGTAGTATGAGAGACTCTCGATTCCGGTATACTCGAGTAATACCACAGTGCAAGTGTTTGGAGTTAGGGCCCGGTAGGGGGATGTTAGGTGGAAGGAATGGGAGTGAAATGAAGTCTACGGTTGGTTACTTTTAAACATTGACGGAGAGTCAATGAGATTCGATCAAGAATGCAAACGAGGAAAAGGACTCTTGAGAGCCGCCCGTATCCTTTTATCACCACCATTAATGTGTGCCTTTGTTTACTTTTGATGTAATGAAATGAAAAGCTTGATGCTTATATGAACTTGGTTGCTTGAGTAGTATTATCTCACTGGGCAATTAGCTCACTCTATTCCTTTTGTTTTCCTTACAGGAAAATAACTATTTTTGGACTGCAATTGATAATTGGTTGCCGAAATGAGCTAGTTGGGCATATCTTTTGTATAGTTCATTTATTGAAACCCTAAATGTACTTTTGGGTCTGTTTCTCTTTTGATTTGGCAAACCATACATGTATCCACTTTTGAATACTTTTGTATGCAACTTTGAATTGTAACTACTAAAGTTCAAGATGTGAACGTTGGCTTGGTATTTGGTTGGGTTCTGACGGGTCGGTTACTATTCATGGCCGACTCCGGATTTCATTTTTTTTATTTTGGGTTATTTTACCATGTTGACTTGTTTACGCGCGTTTGTAAGTTCCGAAACGCAATAGATCGCTCTAACTGCACCGTTAATCCTGGCGAGAGTTGGGCAGGCAGTCCGCTAACCCCTTTGGTTCGCCTTAGGGGAAGGTGGGGCTGTCACAAAAACCCTCGTGCCTTCGTTCGTTCATTCATCCCCTTCCGGACGTTGACCGGACTCCACCCATCCGGACGTGGCCGGACTACAAGGTAATACTCGAGTATACCAAATTCACCCAGGGTCACCATATCGCCCGACCGAGTCCGCTTCTGGCTCGAGTCGATCGGTAACGAAAGGCAGGGCCCAATTCAGCCAAAAGGCTTACATCATGCGCAACTAATGTTTCAATCGTTAAATCATTGAAAATTTCACATTTCATTTAGGTCGAGCGCGATAAAGTACACGCTCGCCTAGAAAATTCGTTTTGGAAATCATTGAAAATACTTAACACATCATCAAACAACAAGAAGAAGTCATGAAGTCATGGAGAATATAACAAACAAGAAACACTCACCTATGTACGCAAAACAACGGGTAAAATATCCTTCCGGATATTATCCTCAGTCACCGAGAAAACCTAAATTAAATGAGAAAGAATATTACAGATCATCTAGCACAACAATTAGGTGCAATCAAAGAAACTCGACAATTATTGAGTAGAACGTACAAAAAGACTTTAAAGTGAAACGAGGACATTTGGACCCGTGGACAAAAATAACTAGGGTTTCATAGACCAAACGTAAGTATACCAGTTCAAATCAGGTCAAATAGAAACTTAGTCCTTGAGCGAAAATTTGGACAGCATGCCCTTTGTGTTTACCTAATTTTCCAGCCATTTTGGCTTCATTATATTTCTCATTCAAGCCCAAGTTCATACACAACACAAATGCATTCAATAGCCGTTACATAGGCTCAAGACAATACAAGAACATAAATCAACTAATAACAAATGCGGAAATGAAGTTTACAAAAGACAGATTTGACGGGTTTTTTTCCGGAAAGAGCATATCTGAGGCTACGCTTATCGGATTGGTGTGAAACTTATACCGTTTCGAAGCTAAGACGAACGTCTACAACTTTGATGAAGGTCACTTAGTCAAATTTCCAGTGTAACCTGGTCAAATTTGCAATTTACAGAGCCAACTTCCAACTATACGGCTAATTAACCGCACTGCACTAGAATGGTCATATCTCAGGCTACCAATGTCCGTTTATGGTATTCTTGTAGGTGTTGAAAAGCTAAGACAGAGTACTAAAACTTTCATGTTTTGGAAAATGGCTAAATCAGCACGGATCCTTGTGAATAAACATGATAAATTGGATGAACTGACTAAAACGGAACACTGGAAACATCCTAAAATAGTGAGGTATTTTGGTCTTTTCACAAGCTACATTGCTCCGATTGAGCTGAAATTTTGTAGGCACCTATAAAATACCATTCTCTACAATTTTCATGTTTTATACAAAGCCTAATTCGGCCTCTAACATGATGCAATAAAATCGGACAGAATAGAGCTGAAATTTTCCAGAAATCTGGAATTTTTTATTCCAATGATAACTTTCTTCATTTCTTGCTTCACTTGCTACCAAAACCCCCTATACAATCTTGGATACAACATATATTAACCATACATCAAGTTTGACAGCAATTCATCAAACGCTAATTCATGTATCCACAAGGAAAAACAACACCCAAGACATGATAACAACCATTATTCACCACAAATTTGAGATGCTAAGCTAATTTAAACAAGATTAAGAGTAAAAATTGGGGAAATCATCATCCTTACCTTGCTTAGTCTACCAAGAGCAACCCTAGCTTTCCCCTTCAAAAATTCACCAACACCTCACTAAATCAACACTCAAAGATAACTTTAATCGGTTTACTTTCTTTGTTTCCTCACTTTGTAGCTCAAATTCAAGATGAAGGAAGATGGGTTTTGCTCTCTCTTTTTCCCTCTCTAGTCTCGGCCACCAGCAGAAATAATGAAGAAGAAAGAGCAAAATTGGGGATAAAAAGGTTGGACTCTTGGTTGGTCAAGAAACCCTTAGGTGGCGACAAGTGGCGCCACCACCACCACTCTTTTTTTCTCTTTCTTTTCTTTGCATTTGGTCCACATTTTCGGTCAAGGCTAGCTGGCCATGAGGGGGATATTTTGCTCAAATATTAATGAGCTCATGTGGTAAGAAAGTGGTTGTCAAGTGGTGCGTTCAATCGGTAGTGCGCGGTACCCGTCGGTTCACGCCGTTTTTCCTTAAAACACACGTACTAGGGTTTTTTCTTCCCAATCACTAACTTTTTATCATGGCTCCTAATCACATATTATTTCTCACCTAAAAGTCACTCTTAATCACCAAATGAAAATCCTTGTATTGAATTAGTTCTCCATTGGCGTGTTATGTGCTATTGAATGCATTTGTGTTGAATTTCTAGATTTCTGGAAAATTCCTACGAGTTTAGTCAAAGGACAAGTCAATTCAAGAGATGGAATTATTTCCATTGATTTTGTGAAGTCAGAGTTGAATTTGGCCGATCCTCTGACTAAACCCGTAGGAAGAAAATTGATTCTTCAAACATCAAAGGAAATGGGATTTCGACCAACAAGTTGTCAATAGAGACAGTAACCCAACCTATGTGATTGGTGATATTATGAAATAGGTTCATATGGGTAATAACAAGTCAATATTGGCCGTAAAACACTTGAAATTTAAGTCCCTCTGAAGATAAGTGCTTTGAGTAATTATGAGGATGAGTTAAAATTCTTAATGAATTCATATCCCATTAGGGAGGTGTATTTAAAGCAGTATACACTTGATGAATTAACCTACATGAGAGTGGAGTGGGGCGCTCCTATAAGATTCCTTGGTCAAATCTTTAGAGCTCTCATGAATAACCAGGTAGGTGCACGGCCTAAAAGTACAAAATCGTTAACAGCAAAATTATGGGTTGTAATGTGATTGACAAAATCTCTATCATACGTCAAGAATTATTGGTTCATAGAAATTTATATTTCACCAACAATTCTGTAGGTCATGTTTTGTCAGTCTAAGTTTGGTTCATAATCCAAAAAACACCAAACTAATTACATTCCACCCAAATAAATCCAGCAGATTATTTTCTTATCTTTTGTCCAAATCTTTTGAAATAGGAAGAAGATTGTTGTAAAATATAAGTGTATTTCAAAAGTTTTGTCCCACATCGAAAAATGAATAGGACAAAAGTTTTGTCTCATATCGAAAAATGAATAGGACCTCTCAAGATTTATAATGTATAAATAGGTGCTATTTTCCCTTGGAAAACACACTAACTCTTCTCCCCCTGACAGTTGATACCTTCCTGTCAGTTTTCTCCCCCGGTAGTAGATACCTTTTTGTCAGCTTCCCCTCCAATTCTCCCCCGGTAGTAGATACCTTCTTGTCAGCTTCCCCTTCTACTTCTTCTTCTTCTTACTCTGCGGGATTTACATTACATTTGCTATTTTTGATCCTTTCTATTCATAATACGAAGAAGGCTTGTTTAATTCTAGGAAAACATTTCGATCTCCTGAAATAGTTTTTTAGGACAGTGCTATAAAGCACGACTCAAACTACATTATATTAATTTCAGTTAACATTTAGTGTGTTTGGATTACATAGTTTTGAAATAAAATAATTTACTTCACAAATTTCAATCACTTTTTTATCTTCCCAATCACCTTTTTATCTCACATACATCAAATCACAAAAAGTGTTACAGTAATTATCTCAAATAAATCATCCAAATAAACTCCTATCCAAACAAACTAATTGTTTTTGGCTGTTTTTCCGACAAACCTAGCTTAAACTGTAGTATGATATCCCGCATATTTGACTTCTTGTTTAGAAGAATTAGATCAGTAAGATTAACACTCTTACTTGCATTGCTGAATCAACTTCTAATAAAGAAAATGAAAACTTTAACCTGAACATGCTTCTTTGGCATTTGTACTCTTGCGAAGAGGAAAGCCATATGGATGTGAACTTAAAATTTTATAGCAAATGTTGGTTGTTGGAGATCTATAATAAACAGATTATTGATCTACTACACACTTCACCAACTAACTTGTTGGTATTTTCATTTTTCTATTTGGAATAATATGATAATTTACATGAGTTATAGGTATTGCATATCATCTTATCACTACATTTCCTGTTTTAAGCTGCGAGAGGATACCAAGAAAGGTGTATATGTTGAAAATCTATCAGAATTAAGTGTCCAAACCGTTGGTGATATTCTTAAACTTCTAAGACAGGTGACTAATTTTTGTTGTTTACATCAGCTCAACTGCCAAAATCATTTTAGTACATGCAGGATGCAATGAAATATTTAGATGTTTCTAAATGGTGAATTTCAATTTGTTGCTTTAGGGTTCTTTAAATAGGAAAGTTGCAGGTACCCGTACGAAAAACTACAAAAGCCGATCACATACTGTTCTTACGTGTGAAATTCAGAGTATGTGGAAAAAAGATAGCAGCTGTAACTTGAGTTTTGCTAGACTAAAGCTTGTCGATCTTGTAGGTTCAGAAAGGTAGTGCATCATGATCAAGATTGTTATTCATTAATTAGTCAAGAGTTTTTGTAGTGCATCACAATTTTCACATTACTTCTGATTTACAGCAGGCAAAAAGCTTCTAGTGTTGAAGTTGAGCCTTTGAAGAAGACTGCTTATTTAAATAAATCATTGTTTACTCTCAGGTACTGCCATTATTATTATTTTATTAATTGGAAATGTGACCATTTCAGTCCTACAACTACTAAAAACTAAAATTAACTACAAATTTCTTCTTGTAGTCGTGTAATAAAGGCTCTTGTGGATGTGGCGAATGGAAGACCAAGGCATCTGCCATATAGAGATTCAAGACTCACATTTCTATTTAAGGTCAACAATTAGTTATTCATGTGCCCTTGGTTTCAGTCATGCACATGTTACCTTTGTTCTGACATGAAATCAACAAATATAGGAATCTCTTGGTGGGAGAAAATCTATCAAAAACCATTGGAGAAAATCTATCTTAGGTTTTGATCAATAATTTATTGAGTTGCCACTCCTTTTTTTCTCTCAATGCGAAGGTTGTTGCCTATGAAGATTCTTTGCAGATGCTGTTGATTTATGAAACCAGACACACCTTCTTAAGGTGGCGCCTAAGTTTACTACTTAGATTATGATAGTCAATTTGAAATTTGTAAAGCTAATCTTTCATTAAATGGTTGGATAGGAGGAGGAGGACACTGCAGATAAACAAGAGGAAGAGGACATTGATCATTATGGAGAAGTATTTGGACCAGAAAATCACGTTGAGGCCGGAATTATTGAAGCCACTATGACCCTGCAGGAGGAAGAACTCTCTCTTTTTCAGCAGGAAGATGAAGCTTGTAACCTTAAAGAGATGGAGAACAGAAAAATATTGGTACTTTTTCGAACTCAGGTCATACTGAAGGATGTAAACAATAAAGTTGCAACCGATCTTCAGAATCAAGAAACAGAATCTATATGTGAAAGGTTGAAGTGAGTGCAAGATGAGATGGCCAAATTGCAGATTGAGAAAGAGGGGTGTGTATCATTCTTGCAGCCAATTCTATCAATTTCGGTGTGTATCATTCTTTTGCAAGTGATGTATTCTGCTGCTTGATGTATTTCTGTTTGTAGTTCTTTTAAGGTGCAAAGGAAAATATGTATGTTCGAAGACTGAAACCTGTGGAATATAAAAAATACATTAGGCCATTTTCCACCCGTTTAGAAGACATTCTGTGCCACTTAAAGTGCAAATTGAAGTAGTTTCATTTACTAATTTGCCTACAAGAAAGTTCAAAAGATGAATTGTCTCTTCAAGAACCATCAATCAAGTGATGTTGGAAAAAAAAACTACAATTTTTCTTCTAGTCTTGAAGGTGAAGAACATTACTACAATCAAGACACATTTTCTCTAAAATGTTTGAATCATTTCATGTAATAAAACAAAACCACATTTACCGATCCACTTTGTCCTTCTTTGGGTTCTAAGGATGGAACACGGAAAAAGAAAAAAAAATCCAATGTGTTAAATCTATAATCTGTCAAGATGTATCCAACACAAATAAAATAAAAAATGCATATAATTCTCCCTAAATAGGCTAACATGTGAGAAAACGGCATTTAATTTCCACAAAAAAAAAACCACAACAGCACATAAATGCTCAAACCAAGGCATACAAATGTTGGCTACCAAAATCAACAAAAATGAGAAAGGTACTAAAATCTAATCTGTAGCATGTAAATGATTAATCTGTTTTTAATTATGATTCAAATGATGCAATTAGAACAAAAGCGAGGTTAATAAGCAAACTATATTACCAATAGGTGAGAATTAAATTCCTTTCAATTTTATCTACAAGTATATTTTGGTTTTACTATCTAAGCCATGCTTGACCTTACAAATTTTACTTGATAAAGATTTTTATTCTAAAAGTTTCTTATGTCGCAAAAGTAACTAAAATGAATATCAATATAAATTAGTGCTCACATCTAATAAGTCCAAATTATTGAACAGAAAGGTAATACGATAACCATACGAGTAGAGTTTCAAATTTTATTCTGTATCACTTGAACTACTCACTCAAAAATAAAGTTTCAAAAACAGTTGATGACATAACAAAGATATGATGTTCCTTAAGCAACTGGCATGTAATTGCTAAAACTGTAGACCTCTCCACCATCAGGATTGAACAAAATTTCTAGCTATGCCAACATATCCGCAAAGGTTAACATCTTAGTCATGCTTTTAGTGCTTCTTATCCCATCCAAACAATCCTTGGTCAAAATCCAACATCTCCATGTAAAGATGAGCTATTGTAACTCCACTTCTGCCAATTGCTCCCCCAAATCTTGCTCCTTCAAAGTCTTCTTTGCCTTGGAATCGCCATGGCCTCTAGGAATTTCACTAGAAGAGGAACACTGTGCTTTATTTCTTTTACAAAAATCTCTAGCATGTTCACTATCAAATTCTTGAAATCTCACTCTTCTAGATGGTTTTTTGCCCCCACAACTCTTGAAATCACACTTTCTGAAAAAACTAGATTTTTAACAGTCCTCTCTGAAATTCTTAAATCAGCTTGAGCATTTCCACTTTCTGAGAGTTCCTTTCCTTTTGCAAGGATGGACTTTGCAAGAATTTGCTCATTAATAGAATCAGCTTTGTAGCAGCTAGGAGACACAGTGCCCTTTGCTTTGCATTGAGCAACTAAAGGTTCCTTTCCTTTCGCAATGGGCTCGAAAGACTGCTTATTCATAGAGTCAGCGCCACTGTAACTACAAGATACAGAGCCCTTTGCTTTGGTTTGAGCAACTAAAGGTCACTAATACAAACCCACATCCCACACAGCCCTAGATCTAGATGAAATATCAAAGTTGGATTGCGGAAAAAAAAAACTCAACCCTTCTCACTCACGAAGTTATGAATGTTGATCCAATCATGACCCATAACTTAATAGACTAGCGAACCAAGATTGTTAGTAAAAAAATGCCACAACCAAGTGTGATTTTTGGCTAATAAGTCAATTCGAATATTCTCAAGTAAAACTCTCAAGTATTCAAGCAAAGCTCTCAATAGACAAAGAGAAACTAAACACACAAGATTGCTGGAAAATTCTTATTATTAGTTGATGATAGAAAACATTTGAAGAAGGCTTTTTATAGCTTACAAAGACTCCTAATTTGAAACTAACTATGATTCACTTAAACAATCAAACCTAATCTATTTAGGAAACTACCAAGCGACCTTACTAATTTAACTAACCTGGCCGTAGATACATTATAACACTAATAATAAAAAAAATTATCAACTAAACACTTAACAAAACACTACTAATCAACGACCACTCAATCGAACCAAAGCTTGAAGATCATTCGGCCACCTAGGGTTTGGAAACCCTTGAACCCGAGATGTCTTCAAATGGAACTTCCTTAATTCTTGTGAATCTCAAGCAAAGTGTATGGTGTTTGATCATCATCTTTGAGGTTTTCAATCACATTTGCTTCACCAACTTGATCTTGCACCGCGCATACCAACACTTGTAATGACTCTTAGAGTTTCTTCGCAAGAGCTGTAGTCATTGGACCACTTGAAATCTCTATTAATGCATCCTTTGGACCATGACCAGCCTTGGCTCCTTCATCACATTACTTGGGGTATTGATTCAAACCTAGGCTATGCTCTACGTAGCTTTGTTGATGAGAATCTGAGTCATTTATTCTTTCTTTGTCCATTTTCTCAGTATGTTTGGCGGAATATTCAACAAAAATGTTCTGTTTGCTGAGATTACTTGGTTTGCAAAGCATTGCTCAAGTCCCTCATATATGTGTTGTGTTGAAAAATTAGAAGGTTTTTCAAGATAATCTTATGTCTGCAGATTGTGTTATCAATCAAATCCTCTTAGTTATTCAGAAAGTTGTTGCTGGCTGTAGAGACATGCATCAGAACCGGCTTAACATTGACATATGTAATGCATTAGGAGTGCTTTTAGCTAGTTAGAATAGCTAAGTGCCTACCTGGCAGTTCTGTTAGCTGTTGAAGATTTGTATTGGGGGGCAATTGGGCAGGTGCCTACGGGGGGCCAATGGGGCTAGGGGCTGGGCAAGTTTGGGTGAAATTTTCCCTGATAAAAAATGGCTTCTCCCCCCATTCCCTGCCCAGCCACCCTTTAAAAAAATTATAATATGTAATTTAATTAATTACAAATATATAATGATAATGATATTATTAGTTATACATATTATATGATGTATATTAGTATATATAATATAATTAATGTTATCAATTATACTAATAATTATACATGTCTACTAATAGAAATTATTAATTAGTTATGCTAAATTTACTAAGGCATTTATACTAAACTTCTAATTACGCTTAACACAAAAACACTTTTTTCACAAAAAAATAATCACAATGATGACTTGTTGATTGTATTTGTCTAAAAACTGAAAACTTGACTACTTTATTTGTATAAGTCTTATCACATTGGATTGGATTCAAATAGTTTTTTATTTAATTTTTTTCATGAATTTCAATTGTGAAATTATAGTAGATAATGTCTTGGTGATATGTTTGGTTTTTAAGTACTTGATTCTTGATTAAAATTTAGTTATAATAAAATTACAAAACAAATTTTTATTAGCCTCCGTTAGGCGGGGTGGGGAAGGGGTCCCCCGCCCTATTGCCATTCGTAGACCTAGGATCCCTGCTTATTGCTTAGAAATGAAAGGAAGCTTACCCAAAAAAATAATTCAAGTTTTTTGCCAACATAATCTCCTATCACAAAATAATCCTAAAAATGTTTCACTTGAAAATTTTATTCCCTTTCTATTCTATCTGTTATGACATAGGCTCAAATTAGTTGATTTCCAACCCAATTTTGATCGCTATGTCTGGCACGGTAAGTTTCTATAAATAATGGCAAAATAACAAATCATGAGAAATTTGATTTTTTGAACAAATTAGTTTCTTAGTAGAGGTCATCACAGTATGGATGAACTTTCTATATCTTGTTAAGTGATGTTTACTTGGTTATTTGGTGATATTATTTTGAGCAAGTTATTTATCACTTTTGCTTTTCTAATCATGATTAACCGCCCATTAGTTGTGATTATCTAAAGGTGTTAAGTTTGCAATGAGAATTGGAATTTAACACTAGTCCAAGGAAGTGATAAACCTAGGGAGTACACTCACGAGAGTAGAGGTGCACCTATGTGGCTTAAGTGACTTGTTTCAAGTAATTTCATAGAAGAAATGAACTTGTAGTTAATTTCATAATCACGAGAGTAGGTATGGCTTATCTACAAGTATAGTTGATTCACTACGAGAGTAGGTTTCACATACATTAGGAAATTACGCCATAACTAGCCAAGATAATAGCATTCACTTAACCGGTAATCTCATTTGCAAGAGTAGTAAGGAATTCCATATCTATAGGAGCTTTCTAGTGTTAATTTTTATTACTTTTATATTTATGGTAATCTAGATAATAAAGGAATTTGAAAAACGCCGGTAATTGCAATCTTTCCTATGGGATCGACCCTTAATACCCTATACTCGCTCACGATTCGTATACATGCGATAAATCGCGTGTGGGGTATTTAGGAATTTATAAATATAAAACTTGATTGGGATGAGTTTAATTATATATGTATACCCCGCGCACATCAAGTTTTCTTAAGCATCTTAAATCATTTTCAAATGATATACCTTCGGTAATTTCTTGGTTACCTCTATTTAAGGAGCTTTACATGTAGTAACCATCCGTTGCCGATCTTCCTCTTCTCAAGCATTGTCTTCTCATATTTTCTACTCTCCTTGAGTCTCTAAACATGCTATCAAAATAACTTAAAAATAAGTTTAGTCAAAGAGAATAGATTACTCGACACATATAAAGAACAAGACACTAAAAATAAAATGCAAGACTCAACAAGACTCTAAACATACAAACAAGACACATAATACAACAATAACAACAAAAAAAAGTAAAATTGTCTAAA